CACACCAAAACACTATATTTTATTTTTAATGTTTTATAAATTGAATGAGTGATTCATTTTATATGGGGAGCCATATGGTTTGTGTAATCCCTAAACAAAAATTTTTATGAAGGGTTCAATACCTTTTTGCAAACAAATAAAAATAAATTTTCTGGGGGCCAGCCCGGTGGCATAGTGGTTAAATTCACGTGCTCCACTTCAGTGGCCTGGGCTTCGCAGGTTCAGATCATGGGTGCAGACTGATGGATGCACCACTTTTCAAGCCATGCTGTGGCAGCATCCCATATAAAGTAGAGGAAGATGGGCATGGATGTTAGCCCAGGGCCAGTCTTCCTCAGCAAAAAGAGGAGGATTAGCAACACACGTTAGCTCAGGGCTGGTCTTCCTCACAAAAATAAATAAATAAGTTTTCTGTCTTGTTCACAAATAAAATGACAACTGATATTAGAGCTTCTCCCATCCCATTTTAAACTGGTGAGTATTGAGTGGAATGGGCTTCATACTAAATGTATTAGGGTGGCATAACAGTGAGAGGAGCTCTGCTGACCACCTCCCCAATAAAACTGGTGAAAATCATTTCAATAAACATTTAAAGGCACTGGAAATGGTCCTAAAGGCAAACAGGAAATAATAAATACTTATTCAAAAAAATGATGAAGTTTTGTAAGAAACATGAGAGTCTGTGGTATTGGAACCAAGAGCACTGCCTCCCCAGCTCCTCCCAGCTCACATTGGTGAAGACTCTACTCCAGACTCCTGCAGTCTAGAACACATGGCCCCCTGTCACCCCTGCTCCCACTAACAGGGCTATCTTCTGAGGGGAACAGGACATCAACATTTCAAACCTTGTGCCCAGCTACCTGTTGCTGAGGGTAAGTAAGTGCTGGGAGAGTGTGCTTGAAAAGTGGGGACACCGTTGTTTCAGTCCCTACACGTGGAACTGAGGTGATGCTTTTGGGGTGGTGTGCTGACAATACTGGTGCACTGGTCACCCTGTCCCAGCTCATGAGGTGAGTGTAACATAAGTCATTTGTGAGGGGCCAGGAGAAACAATTGAGAGGACCTCTGGCTGTTTGCACTGAGCCCTCTGCTCTTCAAATGGGGTCATCACACAGAGAGAGGCTTCCCATTGTCCCCAAAACAGCTCCAGGTTCCTGTCATAGAGATTTTGCCTGCACATCGGGGTGAAGTGAGCCATAGAACACAAAGCTCTTAATCACTTTCCAAAAAGTTTACTTGGCTGGCCCAAGATCATGAGAAGTTCAAGTCAAAGGACACTGTCAAGAAAGTGGTAAAGAGAAATTGAGTAGATTCATTCACAAATATATTTATTGAAGATA